TTTCCAGCTTTCCTGCCCCAGAGCCGATGCCTTCTCTTTGTGGGTAGATATGGTCAGAGCATCGGCCCTGCAGGCAGCAAAAGATGGTCCTCGCAGGAGAGCAGCTCTGCTTAGGTCCAAAAGAATAAGTAAAACTAAACCCCCCAAACTTTCCTTTGACCCTAATTTTTCCCTCCTCACACAAACTCCAGATGCTGTTACAAAAAGGGCAATAATTCAGAAGAACAGCCGCACAAGGGAAAAAAAAACAGAAATGTGTTTTGCCCACTTTTCCCAGAAAAGACTGCAGCACCGAATTAAATGATGCAGAGTTGCTGTTTCGGTCTGCCAAGGTCTGTCATGCAGTGGGTTAGTTAATTAAGCCCCTTAATGGGCTGAAAGGGGCTGAGCAGAGCAGGATCCTATGTGCACACTGGGCTGTCAGCATCAGCAACACCCATTTCCAGGTCCTATTTCCCTCGCCTGGGTCATCTAGCAGAGACCTTGGATGAAAGGGAAGGGGATGCTAAGGAATCAAACTCTCTTTGGGGGAGATTAGTGGGTTTTTTGTTTTGTTTTGTTTTCTTTTTCTAGTCTTTAACACAATTTTTAAATACAGGGGCTGTTTCATTTTTTTGAGATGTTTGAGCTAAAAACGTTGAAGAAAAGCACATTAACAGCACAAGATTAGCACAGCTACAGGGGCTCTGTGATCTAGAGCTGTCACAACGATTTACCAGCTGACTTAAAGAAAAAAAAACAAAATTGCACCATCAATAGAGTTACTTGAACTGACTTAACTGAGTTTTGCATCCAGATTTCCAAACAAGACCAGGGTGGGGAGCAGCATGGGGCAACGGTCCTTGTACCACTGGACCATCACACCATCAAGGAAGGGATTTGCCCTTGCTTTTCATTTGTGCAATGGGATGCTGACCTTGCTTAGTTAATTAACCGCTAATGAATGGCAAACAGCGGTGCAGATTCTCCCATCCCATCCTGCCCGGATTTCTTTTTTGTGCTTTTTTTGGGCCCTCCGTGCTGCTGGGGTCACGCGTTACACAAAAAACAAAACCAAGAGCAGGAAAGCGAGGACAGGCAGGACTGAAATGCTGGAATGAGGTTGTTGCTAATTAGAGCACCACGGGGCTGAGCAGGAGGCTTCGCGGCTGCTTGGTGTAAATGACTGGTGCGATGCGCACGGTGCCCGAGACCGCGCTGATAAATGGAGCACTTAGGGGAATGGCAGCCATTAGGCAATTAACTCCCGCCGTTTATCGCTTGTGTTTCCCTTATTCTGCATACTAAGAGATGCTTCACCCCATATATGCATTTTCCTAGTTTATTAAGAATCAAAGTTATGGTTGTAGAGCAGCAATTGCTACTATATATTTATGCGTTATATATACACACACACATATATATTTTTTTCTGCGATAAGAAGAACCACTTTGCTTTCCCTATTTCACCAGCACAGGCCAACTCTCAGGAAGTTTTTTCAAAACCGTCTTTTTCCTGTACATTTGCAAGCTAATATCTTTACAGGATACGGTCTATTTTTTTTTGTTCCCTTAGGTCCTGCGCAAAATGTGGCTTGATTGATGAGTCTTCCGAGGCTTCTTACTGGCCCACTTTTGTACTTGTTTTTGTTACTGAAGTGTAGACTCTTTCATAGTTGGGTGTTTCACCAGTTTTAGTCCATCCCTTGCATATAGTGCATATATAGTACGTCCCCAAATATACAGTGCTGGGGCACGCGTTGGAATAGGCATCAAGAAATCCATGCAGCTTATGGGACTTGCTTCCTAAGGGCTGGAAATCCACATGCCGGTTTGGATTGCTCTTGGATTGTGAAATCCTGCAGTTTCCACAGGAAACTCCGAGGCTTCTTACTGGCCCACTTTTGTACTTGTTTTTGTTACTGAAGTGTAGACTCTTTCATAGTTGGGTGTATCACCAGTTTTAGTCCATCCCTTGCATATAGTGCATATATAGTATGTCCCCAAATATACAGTGCTGGGGCACGCGTTGGAATAGGCATCAAGAAATCCATGCAGCTTATGGGACTTGCTTCCTAA